AATATAACTTCATGAACTCTACTTAAAACTTCAGAAGCCTCTGAATGTTAAATGCAAAAGGAATTAATTCGTTCTCTTATTTTTTTTCTTCTAGCTGGCCCTAAAGGCATAGAATTAATTTAACTTCAGCATACCTATGCAGCTGACAGTATTCCTGGCTTCTAAAAGACCCCAAGAGAAATTGATTGAGTGGACAAGTATTGCAGCTGTTAGAAGAATCCTATAGATAGATCACAGGGGGGGAAAAAATCTGCCCCCATAAAAACACCAAGAGTCTGAGCTGCAATTTTCAGAGTACTTAAACATTACAAATTCCTTAAAATAGTTTCTTCCTTTTAGAAATGCACATGAATTTTCAAATTCTTAGTGCTAAGTAATGTATATACATCAAGCACCATGCCTGGCACATGGTAGGTGTCAATAAATATTTATGGAATTGAATTAAGTCAGCAATATCCTCATGCGCCAACATCTCGGGGACTTGCCTGGCTTACAAGGGTAGAAGGGCAATCCCTTTTTTCTACCTCACTCTAGTGTTCATTTTTAAACCCCCAGCACATTAGATCTGGTTATGCTTCTAGTGCTAATAACACTGTTTTAAACAATACAAAGGATACTATATGGAACAACAGTTATGACAATAGGTAAGCTTTATTCTCAACCAACTATACCCCACCTCAAGTGCAAGAATTCTGTAAAACATAAACACTGGTTCTGTGCTAGGATTAGCACAACAAATTGAGAAAATTGGAGGTGATTCAGATACAAGTCAGGAAAACACTGCATTCATAAAATTATGATCCAACCAGGATTAAATAAAACAGTGTAATTATTTTTTAAAGACTTGTTTTAATAAGAATCTTTATTTAAGGTGTAATAGCCAATTTTCTTCCAAATACCCTAAGAGAGGTAAAACTGTTAGTATTAAAAAGAAGTATATTTAAAACGTGCAAGGTTTAAAAAATACTCATGCACATCGGCTAATTCTTTTTTTTTAACTCTTTCAAGCAGATGAAATGAATGCACATAATGAAGCTGGACAGCTGTCTTGCTCTCTATAGTATCACCAATTTATTCTTTCTGGCCATCAGAACCACTGGGTGGGGAGGTTGGCATGGCTTCTCAAACAGTCCCATCCTCTTGTGAGTTAAGGGGCAAGGCCAACCAAATGTGTATTATTGTATGGATATCACCATTCCAGGAAGCAAGTTAGTAGTTTTCCCTCTTATCACTGAAATGTCTCAAATTTATGCTTCCCACTTTTCAACTTCAATTTGTAGTCTGACTTCAATGCTTTCCTTTTCCCTACATCTCCTCCCTACAACGTAATTATCCACTGAGCCAGAGAAAATGGATTCTGAATGAAGAATGCTGAACTTCACATTCACTCATTCACCCAACAAACTGCAATGTTACTTTACCATGTTACATTCTATAATGAACTTCCTAACAACTTCATCAAGTATCTTTCTCTTAACTACCTTGTCCTGATGGTCTTGAGTTTAGCTACAGATGTACTACAATTAAAGTTTTTTCTTTACAAAGTTTACCTAACACCACCTCCTTTACATACCCACTCTGAAACACACATGAATACACTTCATACACTTCAAGGTTTAAGCATCATGCTTGGTTGCTCTGCTCAATTAACTGAACAAGTTACGTGGCTCCTGTCTGATGAACCTACTGGGAGCTGAACTTAAAGTTTTCTATTGACAAAAGAAACCAAGAAGCAAACTAGAGTACAGAGTTCAAGTCGCAGTCTTCTTCAAATTTCACTGAATTGATTCAAATGGATATACTAGTATTATAAACACTTTATAAAACAACTGATATAATAGGAACAATTATTTTGTTAGAATATTAATTTTTAAGGCAATGGTTCCATCTCTACAGTCATTCTCACCTCTTTAGTCCAGGAATAGTCAGTATCTGATTTCTGGGGTGCAATGAAAAAATTCTTGGCTTCAGGAAGCCTCAAGTAATACCAGGAAATTTTGACAGCCAAGAGAACTACTTGGCTGACGACTGGAATTATTCTTTTTCAGTACAGACTTTCAGTTCATTGCAAGTTGAAGAGCAGTCATAAATAACTGTCTTCACACACAGGCTAGTCACTAAGCAAAGACACGTTTCATGAAATGCACATAATTAGTATCAAAAATTTCTCTTCCCGTGTAGATTTTTTTTTCTTGCTACAACCACATAATCACCATTGGAAACATAAACTTCTTAAAAAGGAGACAATCTGTATGTATTCCTAAATAAAATATAGTTTTGAAAAAATATTCTCACAGTAACACAAAAGTGTATATGCTGAGTCTATTTTCCTATTGGAGCATAAAAACCTCCTTCGCTGTTAAAGAAAAACAAAATATTTCACAAAATTAAAATTGTGAAGAAAAGTACTATTAAAACTATTAGTTTGCACAAAACTAAGACAATATACACAACACAGGCTCTCAATAAATGCTATTATTATAAAGGTTAATTTTAACATTATTATTCCACATTTTATTGTGCCTAGTGTTCAGGCACTTCCATATAATTAATCCACCCCACAGAACAACAGAAGGAATTATTATCCTAACTATATCAACATGCTCAAAAAAGGTAAAGCAATTTGTTCAAGGTTCTGCAGTTTATAATTACTTGGCTCATGACAATACTGTCTCCTTCCAACATTCATGATCTTTCTGTATCATGCTGGCTCTCTAAGCAGTTTTTTTTAATATGCCCCAATTTTTCTATTTTTACTTAAAAGATCATTTTTAAAATACATTTTTTCATCTGAGGTTGACAGCTAGGTATTATGTACTAGTACTACAATTACTGGATACCCAAGGAAACAAAAGATGATGGGACCTGAATCCTAGAACTTCCACTCTTGTTTGGCTAGATTTGTTCATGTACTTTGGTATTAGCTGCACATTCCCCAGGCTCCCCTCCCCTGGCACACTCAAGATACAGTGAAAACCACATGAGGTTGAGATGACATTCAGGAGGATTTGTTTAGTCCTCTGACAACTCATCCTGAGGGGCCTCCCTCTTAACCCTCCACTTCACCAAATCTCGCCTCTGAGTAATACAAAGCTTTAGGCAAATCTTTCCCCTCTGCCTTTTTAAATAGGTAACCAATTTTTTTTTCTATTTAAAGCCAATTAATTAACATATGGTATATTAGTTTCAGAGGCAGGTAACCAATTTTTTTTTTTTTTGGTAGGATTTTATTTATTTGACAGAGTGCAGGAGAGAGAGAGCACAAGCAGGGGGAGCAGCAGAGGGAGAGGGAGAAGCAGGCTCTCCACTGAGCAGGGAGCCTGATGTGGGGCTCAATACCACGACCTGGGGATCATGACCTGAGCGGAAGGCAATCACTTAACCAACTGAGCCACCCCTGTGCTCTGGCAACCAATTATTTTTAAAATCATTTTCTAACACCATAAACAGATCAATTAAATTAATTAAAACAAATGAAAAGAAATAACACTTTTCTTAAATGAAATCTATGAGGTATATAGTATCTATAGCACACCTTTTTGTGAAACAAGCACAATATACATCAACTCTGAAAGTGTATCTAGGCTTTCCATATTCTAAAGTTTCTCTATCCAACTTGACAGAAAATTATTTTCCAAGTTGTCAGTCTCCTGGTCAAAATAAATGAATTCTAAACTTAAAATCTGCAAACTAATAATGTTATATATCTTCTAGCAATTCTTCTATAAAATGTTTAGGAACTTCCTTTACCCACAAACAGAAACTAAAAAATAGCTATGTTTCTAAATATGTGATCAACATACTGTTTAATCCACCTGGTTTAGAAGAGAGAACAAACAAACCAAGGGGGGGGAAAAGCACAATGAAATCATGTTAAATGAAACCTGAATGATTCAGAATTTGTGATAATTTGAAAAGGGTTTGAATCAAGTTAAATACTTAAAATTTCCCCATATTTCCATGCTCAGTACATAATTATTCCCTCTGAGAAATTCAAATCTCACATATGATGCCTTTATGCTTCTATTCTTCTACCAACTACATTTTTTTCCTTCACACAGATATCTGCCTGACCTGGTTCCTTTACTCATCAAAACACTAAAGCGTCCAACTACATAAAACATTCTCAAGTTCTCTATCTTCTGAACACCCTTAAAGGGGTAAAAAAACTCACAGAGATGTTGCCAGACCCCCAACAAAACAACTCAGTTGGGATTTAACATAAAATTCAAACAGGTAACTATAAATATTCTTTTTAATTACGATCTTTCAAAAAAACTCACATTCTGATTCACAAAAAGAAAAATTAGTTCCAACAATTTAAGAACCACTACAGAGGAAAAAATCAATTATTTCCCATGATTAATGTAGTTATTCACAGTAACTCTTAGTAACACAGCTGTGTTGTCAAGGAATTTTAATCTATTAAATTAAATTTTATATTTGGAAAATATACATTCGAAAACGTCCACCAAAAAACATCTTTAGTACTGCTATTGATCTTAAAGAAAACTAAATTCTAATATACTATTAAACCATAGCATCAAAAAAATGAAAGAGGACAGCCTAGTTAAAACCAGCATGATTATAATTATTTGAACCAAATTATATTTCTATAATTTCCAGATAAGTCCAAAATTCCAGATAAGTCCAAAATTTTTTAATCCTCAAAAAATATTAAATTACCATACTAGCAATTTTTAAACTTAAAATTTTGTTAAAATGGGTTTACAACATAATTCTTAATACAGACACTTCATTCCAATTTAATTATCTCAAAATTAAAATCTTAACAATAACTTTAATCTACTAAAGTGATTTTAATCCACAAGATTTAAAAATAATGTTTCTAAAAACAGATTACAAATAGTTTGCACATGTAAAAAAATGTAATCTTAGCAATAGCTAGCACTTCCTTATTTGTCATGACAAATGCTGCAAAGGCATAGCAAATTTCCTTGTAAAAAACGGACACAATTTATTTTAGAATAGGCACTTACCACTTCTTCCAATGCAGCACTTCGCCCGAAAGAACAAGTGAGGTGTGTGAGGCAGTTAACAAAGGACGAGAAAAGTTCATTTGGAATGGCAGTTAAAACATTTCGAGGGAACACAGTTATCAGGTTGCTGATAATGCTGGAGATTCCCACAGCTTCTGAATCTTCTATTTCAATTCTACAAATCAAGTAATGAGTATTATTAAGTGGTAGAAGAAAAGTCCCAAGAACTCATTTCCAAACATGCAAATATTATCATCCATTCATTTTTAAAGGTGTGTCTCTGTGTATTAATTTCAAATTACCCATATAACTATATTTCAGAATATAAGCAGGGAAAAAAAATCACTAGTTTCTTTTTCTCCTCTAATGTTAAACAAAGAAAAAAAGTGAAGGTTCTTTTTCAGTTATAAAGGGCAAGTATACCTACCCATTGATAGTATTCAGTAATCCCTCAATGAAGTGTGCTAGATAATCGACTTGTGATCCTTCATCGGGGAATATGGGTCCATGAAGAGAAGCTAACTGGGCAAGGCACTGAAGAGAATCTTGTGCCATATCTGAATCTTCTCTGATTTTTCGATGTACCTGTTAGAAAGAATTACTAATCCATAAAAATAAATTCTTCTTTTGTAAGGGTCACGTGTCTATCATGCCGAATGAGGTAAGAGAAAAATTCACTGTAGCTGGTTAGTTCTAGAAAATTAATTCCTGAACTTAGCTAAATTTGAAAATTGTCCCTCAGACCACTTTACATTATAGGCCATGATTTTAAACTTATCAAGTAATTCTTAACTGAGGGCTACCTACATTTTGAAAATTGAACGGTCTCCAGCATGTTATGACAAAGAGAGAAACAGATGCCAGCCAGTCAGACATACTGCTTCTTCTAAAAACAGCAACAACGACAGTCATCTGTATTATGCTAACTATGCCTAGCTACAGCTTCTTGCTAAAGTTAGCAGACAAGTTCAATCAAGAGTATATAGATGCTGCTTTAGCAGAAGTAAACAGTTGCACACTTAGAAAACCAATATACCTTTCAATCCCTAGACGTTCACTAATTCAACCAGTATATAGGCATACTCTTTCATTACTCTGAGATTGCCCACAATTTGCTTGAATTTCATTTTATCCTATACCATTGCTTTTAATAATGGATAAAATTTTTTATTTTATTTAAATTATATTTACATCCACTTTAAACCTCATCTAGATCTTATTTCAATGATGCAATACTGATGTGAAACACCTGGTCCATGGTATTCTGTACAAAAAGAAATTCTCCTGAAATACTGCTCCGCATTGTACAGTGTTATTAATATTCTCAGATTTTAAAGATGTTTCATTTCTGTGATGTGACATAATTAAAATGCCAAAGAAAAATACACTTTGTAAAGAAATTGCAGGTAATTTTTTATCCTAATCCACCAACCACATTTAATGGCAACCATTTTCTACTTTCCACAAGCATTTGACCCATCCAGCCCTTCTTTTCTTACACAAATCTCTTTGCTTTCTGAATGTCACAGAATTTTAAACATTAGTTTTCTATTTGTTTCAAATTATGTTCACTTTGACTCTGCAAATCATTTATAAATTACTTGAAGTTAGCATATTTCTCTTAACTATTCACAGATACATTTTTGGGACACAGTGAACAGACACTCAAATCCTTATTCACAGATTGATTTCATTAATCTTTAAAACCTTGAACTTCTTAAGGCTCTAAGAAATTTAAAATACTAAAGAGTCACAAAACTGATCTACTGACATGTTTAAAATATTCCATCCTCTTTGGTCTAGAATATGGGTTGGCAAACCACAGCTTATGGCCAAATCTGGCCTCCTACTTATTTTGTATGGCCTATTCAGATGGTTTTTACATTTTTTTATGGTTGAGGTAAACAAAATAAAAGAAAAATGGTATTTCAAAAGATAAGACAATTATACAAAATTCACATTTTAATAACTGTGAATAAAGTTATACAGGAACACTACAACGCTTTTTTGTCGAATTATCATCCATGGCTGCTTCTGTATGACAACAGCAGAGCTAAACAGCTGCCTCAGAGAACATATGACCTGCAAAGCCCAATATTTACTACCTGGCCTTTACAGAAAAGCTCTGCCAATCCCTGGTCTAGAATAACACAAGTGTTTATCAAAATATATTCCATTACATTTTAAGTTTTAAATAGTAAATTTAAAGTATAATACACAAATTCATCCATCTACATTGTCCAATTCAAGAACTTCTGAACACAACTCATTCTTAAATTCCTTATCTGAAAACTAACTAAATTTCTGTCGTCATACTGTTTAACCTAATCAACATTTAAGCAAGTTATCCAAGGGTACATTCTGCCAATGAATACAATGCAATCCCGGACAACAGAGGGTTTCTTTTCTATAGAGCTAAATGGTTGCTTGTTCCTGGGAGAGAAGTGAGGAATCAAAAGATAGGATGACCAAAACAGCTAATGTTGATTATGTAATAAAATGAAATAAAAATAAGGATATGCCTCAGAGCCTGCATGGAATACTGTTTACTCTTAATTTATGTTCTCTGAAATATGAACCATATAAAACTCATGATAAACCAATGAACTCTTGTATAATATAGCAGATTCTTGCCCTTATTCCAATGTCAGCATTACACAGGAGTTCTACCACAACTGAACTGTATCACACAAATTAAAAACTGAATTCATCACCTGAATAGGGAAAGCAGAGGGATAAGGAAAAGGAAAGTCTAGCAGAACACCCAAGGAGGTGAATGGCAAAGACAGACAAGGAGTAAAGAGAAGCAAGTTAGTAAGATAAATTCTATTGGAACATGCTGAATCTGAGATGTCTGTGCGCCATCCAAATTAAAACACCCAGTAAGCACTTGGATTATAAGGCTCTGGAACTCTAGAGCAGCCTGTGCTGAATATAGATTTAGGAGTCATCGGTGCAGAAGTGGTGCTTGAAGTCCAACGTGTGGAAGAGACAGCCCAAGAAACATGTATAGAGTCAGCAAAGCTGAAAACTAAGATAGAACACTAATGATTTTTTTCAGTAAGCAGAGAAAATAAGAGACCATAAATGAGGTCAAGGAGAATCAGTCAAAAAGGTAGGAGGAAAAATTAACGAGAGTGGTTTTTCTAATACCTTATGGAATAAAGAAAAATTGAGACATCTGTAAACTTTTGAGGGGCAGAACGAAACCTAGAGTATTCCTAAATTCAGATGTGACCAATATATTTCAAGTCTTAAATTCATGCAATAGTATATTTATGTCTACCTACTCAAATCGCTAGACAAATAAGGATATCCAATAGAAAAATGCTTTCTATTAGGTAATGCATTCACATAACTTGAAAATAAACTTAACAAAAACTGAATGAAATTAAGATTACCCACTGTCATTTTTATAACAAACTACAAATTAAAAACTTTTTATAAACCCCTTAAATGAAAGCAATAGGCCAAAAGCACAAAACTGTTAAAATAATACAGTAAAAAGGGTTAAACTTTCAAATTCAGAAGTTATTTGCATGTGGTGGTTCACAGCTGACAGAAGCAGCTGTCTACTTTGTCTAGACAGCTGTTCAGATTTGGGGGAGTTGTTTCCAGTACTGCCAGCAAGTTTTTCACCTTTTCAAAAACTGCTGGAATGGGATCTTCTTTCAGTCAAATGACTAACACAAAGAACTGAACTTGGATACGTATCAAAACAATTTGTCAGATATGGCAGGCAACAGAATTTGTTAATTTAGTCACACTCATCTCTTTGGTATGGATAGTGTTTTTAGTCATCATTTCTCTGATTTAAAGAGTAACATGGAAGGTAATACTTAGTCTAAACATTTCTGCTGAAAACATTTTTATGTATAACCATGGATGAATAACCTTATTCTAGGTATTATAAAATATATACCACAAAACTACAATATTTTAAATGGTTTGATCAGATCCGGAAGGCAGCTGTAAGGATAGTAAATAATGTTTTTCTAACAAACGGAAAGGTAAGAAACTAAAATGGCTAGGATTAAGTAAAAGGGCTTTCTTTCTTCCTTCTTAATTGGTCTTTATTTGGACTTTCACCCCAGTCATTTTATCTAACTTGTGTGCCTGTACTATTAACAGCAAATTAGCATCCCTCCCCACTCCATATACACATTTTTACCAGCTTTGGACTATTACAGTGGGGATCCTCATGTGCAAACATAGGAACATACTGCCTACTTCTTGTTATTTAGCAAATAATAAACAGAACTATTTAAAGTTATAATTGAAATAAACTGCTATTCAATAACACTAACTTAACCCATGACTGATAAATTAGTACATAAAAAACTACACTACTCTACTAAAGCGGATCTCCAAGTGAGGTCCAGGAATCCTGAGACATTCCTAAGACGATGTCAGGTTGTCTATAAGGGCAAAACTATTTTCATACTAATACTAACACAGTATTTGCCCTTTCCATTGTCACTTTCACACATGTATACAGTGGAGTTTCCTCAAGGTTACCTGACCTGTAATATTACAACCAACTGGATGCAGAAGCAGATCTGAGAATCTAGCTATCTTCTATTAAGCGTAACATTAGAGTTTTGCAAAAATATAAAACAATGCCACTCTTTTCAGTAAACTTCCCCCTCCCCAAAATTAGCTATTTGTTCACTAAAATGTTATTTATATTAATATGTAACAGTTTGGTGTCACTATTTTAAAGACTTTATTTTTAACTAATTTCTTCGCCCAACATGGGGCTCAAACCCACAACCCTCAGATCAAGAGTTGCATGCTAAACTGACTGAGCTAGCCAGGTGCCCCCTCAAAAATTGTTACTTTTAAATGAATTACTAAATTATTTTTTAAAGTTTTCAGTTTGAATTTTTAATACGGTAAATAGTAATAGCTATAACCTCATAAACAAAAGATATTTCGACTTGCCAGTAATTTTTAAGAATGTAAAGTGGTCCTGAGACCAAAATGTTTGAGAACTTCAGCTCCAGGATATTCAAGTCTTCATACTTACATAACATTTTTATAAATTAGCAAGACTATTTCTATATAATTTCTATCTAAGCAGATGTATTGATTAGAAGAGAATGCTTCAGAGGAGAAAGCAATCTGTCCTGTTTTACTTAAGAAAAATACAAAACATGTACTCTTTTCAGTGGCACTCTCCCTTGGCCTTCACTACCAGAGATGAAAAGCAAGACTTACTGTGAAGAACAGCTCCATAACTCTGCTATCCAGAAGAGTCTCCCGCCAGGATTCTGTTGGCTTTAACAGCACATTTTGTGAGGATTCAAACATAGCTATATAATGTCTGCCCAGTTATCTGGTGTCAAGGTCAACAACAATAACATTCTTACTTTGTCTAAAGTATAAGTATATCCTAAATATAACAGGAGCCATCCAGAAAGAATGTAATGGAAACAGTTTAAGCCTCTTCACATATGCTACATAATTCATGAATGAAGCTAAGGAATAAAAGGCATTAAGTGCTTAAAAAAAAAACAACACAAAACCATGCTACAGGAATATACGAACAGTTTCATCAGAATTACATGTCATGTCATGCTGTAGGGATGTAAAAATATTGATAATCAGAGATCTTAACAGTAGCAACAGAAGGAAAAAATGTGATGTAAAACAGATGCCAAAATATATACAAAAAAGGAACAATCAATTTCTAAATATTTATCCCACATTTCCCCACAATATCTTATAACAACTAAAACTACATATATAAAATGTGAGTCTCATAATAGACTACTTGGAAAAATAGTATTTTTCCCAAAGAAATATATTCACTGGGTAACAAAAAAAAAAAAAAACAAGAGCAAATACACATCATACTGAGGCAGCAAAACACCCACACATTAGATTATGCAAATACCAATTCCAGATAAAGAAATAATCAGTTCATGCACAACTCTACAGATACTCATTTAAAATTCCCACAGACTAAAAACCTACTTTTATGGTGTTCAAGTGTTTCAATATTAAACATGCTTCAAATAGAATATTATCTTTGCTATACATGAAGTAACCATAATATATTTTTAAGTGTCCATGAATATAATTCACTCAATGACACCAATGTAGAAACTGAGGTTTTTAAGAAAAGAGAAAGCTGTCTGGGTATAAAGACAGTAGTTCTGCCTCTTCCATTGCTAATCAGATGTCCAGCTAAATACATCAACTAGGCAACTTTTTCATCACTCAGTGAGAAATTTCAAAAATAGCTATCTAAAACTATAGCTTGCAAAAATTGGACCCATGTTCAAATGCTGTATTTTCATTAAAGCCCAAATCATTAGAGAACATTAAAGGCTACGACAATGCTTTGGAAATCATTTTTTAAAAAGATTATTACTTAACCCCCTTTTGAAATATCTAATATTTTGTCTCTGAAGAGCAAGGAGGGGACTACAAGTTGTTTCAGAAGAGAAATCTACTTATTTCTGAAAAATTGCTCCAAAAATGTTCTGCAACTCCATTTGATTGATAAATAAAAGTGAAATTCAAGTCAGTCACTTAAATTTCACTTTTCTCTTCCTTTATCTGCCCCCTTGTGGAAGTGCAGAGAAAGAGTCAAAAGACACAAACGAACAGCTAAAATGAAGTAAGCCTGGATTTTTTTTGAAGGGAGGAAAAAAAAAAAATCAGCCCATGAGTACTAAGAGGTTTTTCTTTTTTTTTTTTAAATTTCACAGACAGAGAGCACAAGTAGCCAGAGAGGCAGGCAGAGAGAGAGAAGGGAAGCAGGCTCCCCGCTGAGGAGAGACCGATGCGGGGCTTGATCCCAGGACCGCGGGGCTTGATCCCAGGACCCCGGGGCTTGATCCCAGGACCCAGGGATCACGACCTGAGCCGAAGGCAGAGGCTTTAACCCCCTGAGCCACCCAGGCGCCCCATAAGAGTTTTCAGTGGTTAATAGTTTTTTAAATGATTCCACTTTCTCACTAGGCACATATTTTGATCTTATGTTGTTAACACTGTCTTCTGCATTCAGAATATACCAACTGAAAACTAGTATTTTTACATGTTGTCTAAAATGAAGGCTTATTTTTTAGAGAAACAAATATCTGTGGATGGAATCATAGGATGTCTAGGATTTGCTTTACAATAATCTGAGGATGGAAGAGTATAGCTTAAACAAGAACTCAGAGCTAATGAAGCTGGGTATTTTATTTTTGCACATCTTTGAAACTGTCCACAATAAAAGTTTGGGGCATTAAAAAATAAGGCTTGAGCGTATGAAATAAAGTACCCAAGAGTAAGGCAAAAAATTCTTTGTATTTCATAAACAATATTCCACTTATTTTTTCCAGCCCTATTTTCCTCAAATTTCAACATCCCATTTATATTTATTACCTACGCTCAGTACTGTGTTGAGCAGATGCATAAAGAAAAACATGACAATCTCATTCCAATTTTTTAGGGGGGGTCTGCAATATCATATTAAAATGGTAACAAACTGTTATTTTGTTGGCCATCCAGATCTAACAAAATATATGTGTATAATTTTACTAAATATCTTCAACTAGAAAAATAAGAGAACTTATTAGTACTTCATATGCTTAGAAAAGGTATCAATTTATTTTTAAATTAGGTGGAATATGAGACAGATTCACATAACTGTAGTAAAATGGTTCATCTCAAAACAAAGCATCTATCAATTTTCTTGTTAATATAGCCATCCAGGCAGTGAGCATGCACAAGCTGTTCTCTCTGAATAAGAAAGACAAATACTTCAGGGCTGGTACCTGTAAGAGAAAGCTAAAATCTAATACCTCCAAGAACCCTACACAATTCAAGCAAAGAGGAAGAATATTGGGAGAATACTGCCAGAAGTAAAAGGAGTAATACTTGTCTTGGAAAAATGCAAAATCTCATCTCAAGAGAAGGCGATGAATCTCCTGCATCCTAACTCAGCCTGCTAGTTATACTCAACAAGGGGCTGCCAACGTTCTTCAGTGAGTGGACGGTGATAACGCCAAAGATTAGTAAGTATTACAAATGGAAACAAAATCTAAACCAATATACTTGTTTTTCTTTTCTACCCTTTTTGTATTTCGAAAAGGTGTATGCTCCATAAATTCTTGTGGATATCAAGGCTTTGTATTAAGAGAAAATGGAAACACCTAATTTTAGGAGAGGGCTTTTTTCCAGATAGGAAATGAATTAATTGCAATTGCTCACCTAAACCTCATATTCAAAATAACCCTCAAATGTTTAATTTTTCTTAAATTACTATATTTATTTATTTGACACACAGAGAGCAAGAGAGACAAAGAGCAAGCACAAGCAGGGGGAACAGCAGGCAGGTGAGAAGCAGGCTCCCTGCTGAGCAGGGAGCCCGCTGTGGGGCTCGACCCAGGACTCTGGGATCATGACTGGAGCAGAAGGCAGCCACTTAACCAAATGGGCTACCCAGGCACCCAAAATCTTCAATTTTTTAAAATTCTGGTTTCACAAACCATAAGTGACTCTTAATCTCACAAAACAAACTGAGGGTTGCTGGGGGGAGGGGGGTCAGAAGAGGGGGGTGGGGTTATGGACATTGGGGAGGGTATGTGCTATGGTGAGTGCTGTGACGTGTGTAAACCTGGCGATTCACAGACCTGTACCCCTGGGGATAAAAATACATTATATGTTTATAAAAAATAATAATAATAAATTAAAAAAATTTAAATTAAAAAAAAAATTCTGGTTTCCGCTTCCCTGATCCTGGTCTGTTTTAAATATACTTCCCCTAGTGCCAGTATGCACAGCCAAATTTCCTCTAAAACCTGACAAGCATATTTTTAAAATGTTAATTCCTTATATTTTGCTAACACCACATGGAGATCTGTGAGTTCTGTATCTGACATCTATCAGAAAATACTTTCCCCCAATTATTTTATTTTTTTAAATGATTTTATTTATTTATTTATTTGACACAGAGAGAGAGAGAACACAAGCAGAGGGAGCAGCAGAGGATGTGGGAGCAGACTCCCCACTAAGCAGGGAGCCCGACGCAGGGCTTGATCCCAAGACCCCAGCAACATGACCTGAGCTGAAGGCAGATGCTTGACTAAGCCATACAGGCACCCTGATCCTGTAATTATCTTAAAGTTCATGTCAGTTTTTTGTTTTCCAACTCTGAACCTAGAAAGGACTTTTGTCTCTGACATGTTTGCCTTCTACTAGAAAGCTCATTTATAACACACTTCGCTCAGAGATTACCTTAATTGTTCTTTGAAGAATTAATCTCTAACACTGCAAACTTAACTACCTTCTCCTTATAAAGCAGCCCAGCACAACCACTACCATCATTTTTGCACAGTAAAAGCACACACATACTCTTGTTGATATAGTAAGATACAACCATGTAACTTAATTATAAATAATATCTCTACTGAGAGAACATGTAACTACTCCAAAAGCATTTTAACAAAAACTTCAACATTAAAGGAGACAAAAGGAACAGTGTAATAATGAATGGAACAAATTTGTAAGAACAAAGTTATTCTGACAAGAAATACATGTTTTAGTTAGCAGACTGTGCTGTGAAACTGCTCAAGTGGTTGCCTTCCTAAGAGGCTATGGCTGGTGTGGGGGGGGGGGGGTGCCCTGGGAGGCTCAATCAGTTAATAAGTCTCTGCCTTCAGCTCAGGTCATAGTTCCAGAGTCCTGGGATACAGCCCCACATTGGGATCCCTGCTCAGCAGGGAGTCTGCTTCTCCCAATCTCCTCTGCTCTTGTTCTCTCTCTTTCTCTCTCTCTCAAATAAATAAATAAATAAATAACCAAACAAACAAATAAAATCTTCAAAAAAGAGAGGAAAAGCTTATGAGGGTTCTTCTGTATTACCTGAAATACTGTTACTATGAATGTACAAGTATTACTTTTCAATTAAAAAAAAAAACAGTGAGAAGCATATCACAATGTGAACAGAACAGTCATATATGGATCTGGACCATATCCATACATTCAAAATGTAAAAAATTAGGGCAATTCAATTTTTGATTTGGTATTGCCAATTGACTATTTCTGTATGTTTGTATAAGACACCCCAAAATATCATCTCTCCCAGATAATTCAAAGTGTAGATTACTTTTAAAACAAAGCAAAAAGACCACCTCTAAAATTCAAAGTCAAGCATTTCTATTTTTTTTTTTAAGATTTTATTTATTTGAGAGAGAGAGGAGGAAGAGCAGAGGAGAAGGAAGATGGGCATGCTGACTCTGTGATGAGAAGAGCCTAATGCAAGGCTTGCTCCCATGACCATGAGATCATGACCTGAGCTGAAACCAAGAGTTAGACACTTCACCGCCTAGGCCAC